CCCCAAAACCCCAAAACCCCAAAACCCCAAAACCCCGAATATTATTTTAGAAATTGAGAATATTTTAATAAAATGGATGAAGAAAGTAGGAAAATGAAAGACCTTGACTCAGTTAGAACTGGTCAAGGAGCAAGCATTGTTGGCGCTAATAACCCTATTGAAGAGACTCATGAAGGTAAGCCCTCCCTCTTAAAGCGGATCTAGAGGACAAAGAGCATACCCAAACTACACAGGAGGGTCGTCTTCAAGAGGTGGACGAGGACCTTCTTGAAATCAAAGCTAGTTTTGAGAAAAATCGAGGAGCAGTGGAAGCTTTATTCAAAGAAGGCAAAAAGCTCTACATTGAAGACCTCATTGTTTTTAAAGATAGAGCTGATGATGTCGTTGGCTATGAGCTAGATGAATTCATCTCCTTTTTGTCTTCCAAATACAGTTTAAAGAAAACTAAATTCAGCCTTAATTGGGAGAGCATCATGGGAGCTCTCAACGAATGGGTTATATTCCAGACAGAAGATAGAAAAAGAGAAAAAGTTGAAGATTGGATGGACAACATAGAAAATGACGATTACCCTGAACTTCCCGATGAAGATGAACTCGATACTGAAAAGTACAGACAAAGAGAAAAGAGTCGAGACTTGTTAACAATGAAACTTCAAAACTACACAGACCAAATTCATGATATATTCAAAGCGAATGCTGACCAAGAGAACAGCGATGAAGAGTCAGATGAAGAGAATGCCAAAGACCTCCCTGTCCAAGTCAGAGTCTCCAAGTTAACTAAAGTCATTAAAGATATGGGACTTCTCTGTGGTATTGTTTTCACCACATGGGAAGATTACATCTCTGGAAAAATTGACGAGAAAAAGACCAAGAAAGAGATTGTTGATAAGATCAAAAGAGCAATGTGGAAAGATACTCACCTAAGTATCTGTATTCAAGTCTTAGAAGAAAAAGGCAAAAAGGCAGGAGACAGCATTCTCAAGAAGCCTAGTTCAGGAGAAAGTCCTAACCAAAATCCTTCTGAAAGCCAAGATGTTAAAGCAGAAGAACACAAAAATGACACAGATGCAAAACCTGTCCAAGAAATAGTCAACGAGGAAGCTTCAAAAGAAGAAGAGACTAATAAAGAGGATAATGACCAAACCGAAAAACAAGATAATACTGAAAAACCTGAGAAAACTGAGAAAGAAGGCTCTAGCTCTTCGCATTCAGATAGGCCAGAAACTTCTAAATCTGCCACTGCAAAATCAACTACCACTAAGAAGACTAAGACTGTTGTGGAAGAAGAGAAGACTGAATTAAGAACCCAGAATGAAGACTTTGACCAAGAAGAATTCTCAGGCCGGAAAGTCCTTTTTGAAGAAGAGTCTTACCAAGCTGAAAATAGGTACAACTACATTGAAATAGGAACCTTTATGAATCTCTTAAGACAATTCTTCGAAGAAGACGAAGAGATGGTCATCCTTGACCATCTCCACGAATATGACGATGAGATCGCAGAAGCCTTCAGAGCAGCCACAGAGATTGGCTATGACCCATTCCTTGAGAAACTCAAGAAAACCTTGAGCCAATATGAATCTGCTCTCATCAAAGGGGACTTCAAGGATGAAAATGAGAGAGAAGCTACTGAGGGGTTAGTCCAAGATATTAGAAACCAGATTGCCAAGATCTCTCAGTCTCGGATTCAGTCCAATACTTCTGATAGAGATAGTAAGAAGAAGCCATTAACTCTTGAAGAGCTCAGAAAGAGGGGCCTCAAAGAATTATTTACATTTTATTCCAAACAGCATCTCCCTGAAGGACTAGAATTCGGAGATATCCTCAATAAATTGGAGGTGATCGACCTAGGAGAATTCTGTATTTTTGCTAGAGACTTTGACCTGAAAATCCCTAAGAAAAAGATGATAGAAATCTTCAAGAAGACTAGTAACCTTAGACATCAACCACTAAATTTCAAGCAATTTGTCGAAGTACTTGACAAGATTGGAGTAGCAATGAACGATCAACGTATTAAGGACATCAAAAAAAGGCTCATGAATATCGAGAAAATCGAAAATGAGCAAAACTCTAAACCGGCTGAGACAAGCAAAGAGAAATCTGGCAAAAATTCTGATAGTGAGGATGATGCATCTGATGAAGAAAAGAAAACAGTCAAACAAACGGAAGAAAGTAAAGAAACCAACAAGGAAGAGACAAGTGGGAAAGCCTCTGAGAAGGACGAAGGCACGGAAAAACCTGATGGAAAAACTGATAAATAAAGATAGTGATCAAGACTCTGATGAGGATAGTGATACAGAGAGTAAGTCAAAAATTACCAAGACTAATCCTGTAACTGACTCTAAGTCACTCAACACTCAAAGCAAAAATGTGGAGTTTGCTGCGAAAGATGGTGAAACTAGTGCCAAGGAGGATAGATCGGACTCGGAATCTGACTCTGAAGAGGAGACTAACCCCCTCAAAATTGAGAAGAAAAAGCTTCAAAAAGAACTAGAAAAATATGAAAATTATGGGCATAAAGAAGCTCATGATGAGATTATGAATTATCTTGAAATCCACAACCCTGAAAAATACAGGTTGAAAGCAAAAGGTGTCCTCGTAGTCCCTTTCTTCATGAAAGGGAAATATGGAAAACCCACAAAATCCCTCAGCCAGCAAGGATACTCCCATACCTCTACAGATGGCATGTCTGAAAGAAAAGCTCTTGATCCAAAGCTAATCAAGAAAAAGAGGATTATCAATAAAGAGAAGATCGAACGCATTAAGCAATATAAGCTCAAATCTCGAAACAATATGGGTAGCGAAGGAGGTATTTTGAATACTCTCTCACCAACATCGATGGGTAAGAAGTTGAACCCTAATGCAAATCTACTCAAGCAGAGCAAGACTAAAGTGTCTATTTTACCCAAGGCGAAGCAATCCCAAAAAGTGACTCTGGAATCTCTCCAAAATATGAATCTAAAAGAGTTCAATAATAAGCGAAATGATGATTTTAAACCAAGAGATGTCCTCACAGATGACGATGCTGGTGATGATGAGTCTGTATTTAACTATTTCTTCCCTGAAAATAAGAAGCCTAAAGGAAAAGGCAAGAAGACTACTACCAACAAATTTGCTGTCAAGAAAGCCATCATTAAAGAACCTATTGATCAGATCGATGAAGAAGACGTTAATGCAAATTATTACACCGAGCAAGAAAAGCCTCTAAGCAAGAAAGCCAAGTCTAAGCTTGGAAATATCACTGAAAGAGGACTCCACAATTCCAAAAACAACGAAACAAGAAGAAGTCTCAAAAAGAGTGCTTTAACCGCCAGAGGTTCTAAGAAATCAACAGGAAAGCCTAAATCCAGCAACAAGACCAAACCTCCCATGCGAGGAAAGTCAAAGTCCAAGTCAAAATCAAAACCCAAATACGGTATTCCTTCCAGAAAATCATCCCAAAAGACCAAGATCCTCTCTCGGGCAGCCCAGTACGACAAACAGAACAAACTTAATGAAAAAGCTACCCTGAATAAGGTAAATTCTGTGTTATCTTTTTAGATGCTGAAATTACATGACGCTCAAATGCAGAAGGGATATAATGTGTTAAAGAAGAAGAAAATTTAGGGAGGAGTAATTGTGAGTGGGTTTATAATTCAACTTCTCCTCCTCTCAAAGGGGTTTTGGGGTTTTGGGGTTTTGGGGTTTTGGGGTTTTGGGG